CGATAGTGGAAGACATCGTTCCAGGAGATCTTCAGTCTTATCTCTGAAACCATGTTATGCACATGTAGCCCATTTGGCTGGTCACAATAGTCAAGCGCGAGGCTCAGACGGCATAGAAAGCGATAACTGGAAATTTGCGCCAGTCTATCCAATGTTTTCTCGGCCTCAAGGGTATGTCGGAGGCCGTAGAGTGCCGTCACAATTTTGAAGATCCTCTCCACTGGTCGATGGTGTCGTCGTCAGTGCCCATGTGTCAGAAGCTTCGCTAGTCCTGCCATCGCTTGACACACTCCAAATTCGCCTCCAAAATGGTTTCAGAGAAAAAAGATATGTACACCTTCTGAAGAAGCAGATCCTACAAATCTCCGTCCATCAGTAGACCTGCAGTTATGGGAGGGTGGAGGGGGTAGCGCTTCCAAAGTGAGCTAGGAAAGGCCACGTTTCAGCGACGAAGAGCAATGAGCTCAAGAAATAATAGCTGTCACGATGACTGCCTTTCCTTTATTTGCCAGTGGGAGTGTTATGATTTCGTTTCAGGTTGAAGAAGTTGACGAAATGGGGTATACTAAATGAGACACAGTGGGATCCAATGAGGTACCTGATGTGCTTGGAACCTGCTGGCTTTACGGATGTCAAGGTTTGCAGATTTTTAGGCGTGATGATGTAATTTTTTACTGGAGTTTCTTTGAAAGATCGTCTTTCAGGTCGATTACAAGTCACATAACAAAGCTGGTGAATACCAGTTAGTTAGCTGTAGAAGGCCAATAAGTGACGAGGTAGGGAAAAAGCAGTTCGATTTTTAGTTGCTAGGACGCTGTTTTAGATAGCAGTAAGGTCAAGCGTAAAGGTGGCTTGCACTGGTACTTTATTTTCATTCCTTCGATGATTGGCAATTTGTTTTAACATGCCAATGGTGATTTATCGCTCCGAGACGGCGAGCGTCTGCCGTAGCTGTCTGCGGCTGCTTGAGCAGGTCGTTCGCACCGGTTTTTTTTTGTGTCGGTTCTTGTTCCCAGCAACCATGGATATTTTTCCGTTTCGAACTTTTCTTGATACCAATCTCTATAGAGTATTTGTTACAGGAATTGGAGGATCCAGACGTTGCAATGAAGCAACTGGAATTGCAAATCAAAAGGAAATGCTGATCTCGGATTTAATGAAGTCTAAGCGAAAGCTTACAAAAGAAGAGCTGAGTATTCTCAATGAGGAACTGCCTGTTGGACAAGCGAAAAAGTCATGACCGATCACTCAGTTGTAGTATAGCTAGGTTTTCAATTAATAAATAATTTATCGATTATTTGTTTACATCTCAAACTATGGTTATAATTCTTGTTAAGCATGAATGGCTTGGCAGACATCTTTAATTCAAAAAAGTCTCTTCTGCTGCCTGGCGTTGAACTTCTTACCCATTCTGTTTCGGAAACGAGAAGAGCTTCGAGTGCAGACCACACACCACAAGTGACGACGGCCAAGAAAGAAAGGCTTTTTTCTTCTTTCTTCAGCCGTCATTTGTGGTGTGTGGTCTGCACTCGTCGCTCTTCTCGTTCTCCGAAATGGATGGTAGGTGGCCTAGTTTCGAGTTCCATCTACGGTCCTCCATGCTTTGCGCTACTAGTCCAGATACTGTTTTTCAGAATGATCTGATTTTTTTTGGCTACTTTTAAAATAAGTATCATTTCCCAAGCGGACCTATTCCGTCAAAAGGGCGCAAAAGGGATATGCGAGCGAGTCAGGAAGAGGGCGTTGTTTTCAATCCATTTGCGGATACGCATGATAAATATTAAATCTTCCACTGGAAACGTTGAGGGTCTTGTAACGTATCGGACAGAAGTAACGGTACTTTGGGTGGGCTCGGATTCTCAAAGCGGTGCTTAGACATTCTGGGCTTCTGCCACTATGTATCTCTATCTCAGTGGTAAAAGATGAAGCGAATATTGAACAGGATTCGAGCCATACTAAACTAACCAAAGCACTGAGTTCATGTCGGATGAAAATTCTCTGATTCACTGACTTGCTTTAGAGCTCATACAACTTACTCTTCAAGCAAAAATGAAGTTCTAAGAACTCGTATAACAAACCCAACTAGATAATTACGCGTTTATCCCAGTTTTGGTAGTCCATTAGAAAGAATTTTATTCGAAGTATTTTCCATGAAGCTCGATTTGAGGAATGTGAGAACTTGATAATGAAGTTGTTGGCGTGTTTCGCGTTTCTTGTCGACTCAGGTGTTGGCTCGCCACACTTTCCATCACAACTTCGCTTGTGGTTGAGCCAGTGGTCCGTCAGTCACTGAAAAACAAGAAGCAGAGTAGCTTTTCAATTGCTTTAGCCCCACACCTGCCAGTGAGACCATATACCACTACATTGTAACCAATTTCTCCGGGACGGAACGCCCGTGAAGACCGAGTTTTTTTTTTACGAGTGACAATTTCATCTCATTTTTTTTAGAAAACACGTCAAACGTTTAAGCCTCGGTCCTCAAGCGGATATCTCTGCCCGGTTACAAGGCTTCTGTCAACCAAAGGGTGAGAGCGTAGCTGGAAAAGCACACACTTTGTGTCTTATTGGGACTAAGCCTTTTGAAGAAGATAAAGAAAGAGGAGATGCTGTGATAGTGTGCACTTGTGAGAGCTCCCAGACATCACTACAAAACGCTGAACCGCCAAGCCTCACGGTTGACAGATGTCCTGAGATCTCTCCGCCCCAGGAATTTTGAATTAAGAGAGAACAAGAAGAAGAGTAAATGCCTCACCTTCTCTGACAGTTTGCGCTTTTGGGAACACTTCGTAAAGTTTTCCTCTGAGCTCTGCTACTAGATGTCCCTCGAACAGGACGGTTGTCACAGTTGCCAAGGGTGTTTGCGATTTTGTGTGAAGTGCAATTAACGTGGGCTCATCAATCGATACAAAATCTATCTGAAATGGATAACGGTTTGTGAATTCTGATCGATTACTACGTTTGTCTGTCTAATACTCTACCTTTCCTTGAGTTCAATTTATTATGCAACGAACAATTCATGTTGCCTTTCGAACAGCTCAAAAAAGGGCAGGGTTTGAGGGCACATTCCCTCGATTATTTGAAGGCACAGATCGCAATCGAATTGGTATGCTATTTTGTTCGGAAATTAGACAAGAAGTGCAAAAAGTAGGCAAGAAGTGCAAAAAGGCTACTTGGAGGGGAGCAAAAGGCATCATAGAAAACACTGAAATTTCCCTTGTGAAGTCGGCCGTGGTGCGACAGAGAGACAGCGCTGCGAGGAGAGGGAAAATGCGAGAGAGCACGTTACACGCAAGAGGGCGCAGGCGGTGTGCTGCGGTCTGTACGAATCCCGGCTTTACTGTGCGTAGCAAAAGAGCCTTCCAAAGACTTCAGCTTCGACCGCTTCCATTTTTTTCTTGTCGCGAGCATGATGTCTGCCCCCTCTAATCCGCTGTGTTTTCTCGCCCAGGCTGTCCTCTCCATGTTCATGTTCAGTCTGTCATCGCTCAGCACAGATGAACTGAACTCCCTCAATCTACAGCGCTTTGTCGAATTCCTTTTCCATCTTCTTTACTTAGTCGCGCTCACGAAGTTCGCACTATATGCTCATCTTTTCGAGCCACAGTTACTGTTCGACCGTGCGGCGCTCTTAAAGAAATACTCCCACCTCTTCCTCAACAAAAACACGTCTGCCATTTCTTAAAATACTCATGATAACCGCAAGAAGAATCTGCTAGGAAGGATAACACGAAAAATAGAACGACTTACAACCATGATTTCGCAGATTGACGCACAAACCTGTCCATCTTTTGCACAATCGACGAGTACACCGGAGGGAACCGGATTCCGCCAGCACGATAACAGCTTAAGCGATGTCTAAAATGTTTTATAGATGACATGGCATCCAATTAACTACCGCATTTGGAGCGCCGCTTCGCGCCTCTTGATAAGCGCTATAGGTTTGGCTGTGGTCGATCCCAGCCGGTGAACGTCAACCAAATGAAGCCCGTCGATGAGCGCGCGATCACACGTCTGCATAAGTTGCTTGTGGAGGCCGCATTATACGGTCACGTACCCTGGCATATGCACGAGTAATCTGAACAGCATGCGAACAATTTTGAACTAACACAAAGTTGTTTTGGAACGTTTGTAAAGAGCAAATGACCTCTCAGGGTGCTCAAATGAAAAGAGGCCACTATCCATAAACGGGTGAATATCGATCGAGGATTCCTCAACGGCTTGTCGAGGATGTTCGCCCGGTCAGTTGCGCTCTCCCGCGCCGACATTCACATTCGCCATGCGCGAGCCGTCTGTGCTCTCCGCCGCGCGTACTTCACTTCTCGCCTATACTACGCCCGTAACGCAGCCATGGTCGAAGGGATTCTTTCTTGACGCATTATAACACCTGCAACCGATAACGATTCCAATCTTCTCAAATGCTTTGAAATTTATTGTAGCCCCACTAATAATGAACTCCGATCTCACGTCAGTTATGGAATTTCGAAAACAATAATAAGTTGAAATAACATTCTTAGGAAATTTTCAGGCTACGCAGACAAAATTTATTCACTACCGACCACTGCTTCATCATTGAGCAAACAAATTTGTTTCCCTTCTCCAATCTTAGCAGGTCCCGTGCCTGATTTGTTCCGCTGAACTAGGCATTTTGGTCAGTCGCTCTGCCCATTATTAGTTTGTACAATAAAGATTTACTGGCTAGAAGTTGACCCAATGTTGAGTATTTTATAAGACCAGATATTTATTTACTTATTTGTTTATTAACCTAATTGATTTTCCAGTTGTTTATGCACTTTTGTTGATAATTAACTAGAATCTTTATTAATTTTCGCTTTCATTTGAACAGTGATTTCATCCCAGCATTTCTCATTGCAGCGCTGTCTTTGTATAGCTGCTCTCCTCACATCGCCGCTCCCCGCTGGTGGGAATTTCCCTCAAGTAAACGCCAGTGCTCAGAAGAAATGTTCTTATCTAACGTCTTGCTCACTTTCGTGAACTCTCTTCGTAGATGACGAAAAAATCCATAACTTTCTTATCAGCTGGCGTGACTTTCTTCGGTTGATAATATTGTGTACATTAGTTACTTGAAATGAAATATTTAATCTGGAATTCCTCAAGATGATTCCTATTTGGTCGCAAGATTGACGAATTTCTGAACATAGTTGTTCGGTAGTTCTTCCTATCTGCTTGAAATGAAGCGTTTTCGATCTTTTCTTGCTACCTATTTTCACATAGAATGTTTGGCCATTGGAAGTTAGCTACGGTAAAGGTGCTACTTTCCACCAGCATCCAAGTCCAAATTGAATCTCCCCGAGCCTTATCCGTCGTGAGGTCAGTTGTCTGGGACTAGCTCCTCTGGTAAGACGGTAAGATAGAAACACGCACTTCCAAATCGGCTGAACTTCTTAATTCATTGTATATATTAGATCGCATCCAAGTGCCACTGCGATCTGGGGCAGAAGCAGAATGCAGGGCGCATTCCAAAAAATGATTAGAAAACGCTGAATGTTCAATCCTATACCATTTTTCACAAGGCTCTAATATCTATACAAGATAAATAAAGGATAAAGCATTTACCGTTGATCAACCCATTTGTACATTCGTAGTGGCGTTTGAATGCGATGTGGCCTATACAATGACTTGCGGGGGCCAGCCGATGTACAAGTCAGTGTTTTTATCCTCCCAGACA